GATGTGATTTTTGTGTGCACTCTTATGTCATAAGTCTTCACCCCTCCTATTTAAACTATTGTTCACGAAAAATATCACTATAATTTTTAAATCTGATCTATCCAGTGTCGTTAATTATTGCTGTTTTGAAATAGCATTTCCTTATGTATTAATTTCTAAGTTAAATGTTATACTTTTCTTATAGTTATGGGACACTATGCTGCATCTTTGAAGTGCTATTTGGAAGTGGCAGTTTTGGTCAGTGATTTCTTCAGTCAACCTTTGCCACGTGGTGTTATGGATGATCATGTTTATCGAAGAATGATAAAATGCTGCACAAATCTTCAGTGTCATACTCAGGTATTTTCAGACCATTGGTTGATTAGTAATAATTTTTTATTTATCAGTTTTACTTATTTTGCTATAACTGAACCTAGTAAATTCAGACCAGAATTTGATATGGTAATATGTTTGTAAGTAGGAATAACAGCCTAGAAATAAGACTTCAATATCTAATGTTTCTAGTTTAAGATCTTGCCTGAATGACAATGCTTTATAATTAGCATTTGCAGAACATTTTTCATGTATACTATAGATGTATTTCATAGTACACTCTTGATGTATACTATGAACATCTAGTTTCAATATCTCGCTTTTATTGTGCTACATTTTTAAATTAATTCCTCTAAAAAATTGTTTGGGTGTTTCATTGGATGTGTCCGAGTGCATAATGGAATGTACTAGTTTGCCTGTAATAAAAAATGTTTAATACTGCTTTCAAAAATAAATAAGTACTATTTATTTTTCATGGCATATACTCGCTTCTTTCAGCCTCCAATATTTAAAATAGTAACTATTGATAAATACAAAAAAATTGATTGATCCACTGGCAATTTTTTATCGAGCACAATTGCCAATTAGTATTTGTTTCTTTTTACAGGCAGCAGTACTTTGCCAATTCCTTGAAGAAATAGATTATTCAACAGCCTTCAAATCCCTTGGAGATAGTAAAAGCAGTGGAAGTTGTGATGCAATGGATGCATATTACAATTGTATATGGGACACAACTATCTTGGAATATCTTGTTCATTTACATAGTAAACGAGGAGAAACGCATCGAAAGCAACAAGCAGTATGTTCATTATTGTTTAAAGTATCCTCCTAAAAGAGAAAATTAATTATTTTTCTCTCGCTTCAAGTCCTCTATTTCTTTTTTAATTTTCAGATTAAAGTTATTGGCTTGTTGGAACTGAATGCCAGTAATAATGAAGAGATTCAACGGGAAGCAGCTAATGTTCGCAAAGCTAGATTTATGCGAGCAATGGCAAGACAATACTTGAGTTGAGATAAAAAATGTTTATTATATTTTGTACAGCATTTCATGTCCTCATGTGTAAAGCATGCAGAAAATGAACAGTTGAGATTCATTCTTCCAATAATTTCGTTGAGTTCATTTGGGTCTCACAAATTTCTTGCCTCCTTTTTGTTTTTTGTTAGCGGTAGCTTTCTCATCAG